CCCCCCCCCCCCCCCCCCCCTCCCCAAAACCCTTCAGAAAATAATTTCTTCCTATGGATCTTGCTTTCCAGCTTTTCCCCTCCCCTCCTGGAGGCTCCGTATTGATCTCTGACGGACAAACTGCTGACCTCAGAGGCGTTCTGAGGGGACAAGCTTTCTGGACCGTAGATTACATTGCCAGGGATGAACGTCTAGAAGCAGCGACTCTGGCCGATTCGCTGCTCAGCGGGAGCCAGGCAGGGCGGACATAAAAAGGGCAAAATTGTTCACATAGAATAGAGCACAGAAAAGGCTAAGCACAGGCTAAGCGAAGGCTAAGTGAAGCCTAAGTGGAGGCTAAGCAAAGGCTGAGTAAAGCCTAAGTGGAGGCTAAGCAAAGGCTAGGCGAAGCCTAAGTCGAGGCCACGTGAAGCCGAAGGGCACTAAGCTGAGCTGAAGCTGAGCTGAAGCTAGCTAGAGCTAGACCTCCAGCTACGGAAGTTTGACGAAATAAGACAGAGAGAAGGAAAGTTAGAGTCGCTGACAGTGTGGAAGGAATGCAGCGAGAGTGATATTGTGGCAGCAGATCCGAGCCGTTGATTCTCGCGAGGAGATATAGCAAATATAGGCATTCACATAGCCCCAGCCAAAGGCCCCACGGACCGGTCTATAAGGCCTTAGTACCGGATGAACTACGGGTCCGAGGCGGATTGGTGCTATGTCCGCGTGCTCAGAGAGCACGAATCTGGTCTCAAAATGGAGTACGGTAGGTTCGTCTAACTCAGCACAGAGACGTAGCCTTCCCCCCCTCCTCCGCCCCTCCTCCCCCCGTTATCCCCACCTTTCCCCTAAACTCCAACCCGGGTCGGAAGCGAAGGAGTTAATACTAACAGTTTTTATAAGCGCGCCAAGCCCGACCCAGCTATTGCATTCCCAGTGCCACGGGTGGGGGCAACCCTCGAGACTCAGTATGCTCCCTGTCCCAAAACACTCGAGAGATCTCTTCTCGCCACCTCCCTCGATCACCCAAGCTGCGCTCCAGAATGTCATGCCAGCTGTCGTCCGTCCGGAGAGCAGATTCGGAATACCATCGCCTGCCACGTGGCAGATGGGAGCATCACTGCAAAACACAGTCCGCTGCCGCGCGCCGGATGATGGATTGGATAACAGCACAGTCGCATCCTGCGAAAAATACGGACCGTAGAATATGAATGATGATGATGATGATGATGATGGATGATGGATGATCATCTTCCGCGCCTTTCCGCCCTCCCTC